CACAGACACACACACACACACACACACACACACACACACTACTTCACTGTTATGCCTTCTCACAAATAGCCAAGGATAATTTCTTTTTCTTAAGAAGAATGCTAATTGTGCTCAACAAATCTTGAAAATTAATAAACTGAAGTCGTTATCTAGCAGTAACCGTTGGATTCAGTGAACAAGACTGAAAGACAACAAGAAACTTGCAAATTCCTTATGTTTCCTGCACCAAAGCAACACAACAGTCACCCAATAGTAGTTTTGGATAAAATCAGAAACAGTCCCAGGTTTCTTGTGTTACAAATATGGTATTGCAGCAAACTTGGGAGTATCTACTAGATCTCTGACAGTCAAAGTTAGTCTTACCCCAGCAGCATTAAAATTACCCGTTACTCACTAGAAATACAGAATCTCAGGCTCTACCCAGAGCTGCTAAATCTGAGTTGGCAGTTTAACAAGATCACCAGGTTTTTTTTTGTTTTTGTTTTTTAATATTAAGTTTCAGAACACTGCTGTAAATGCCTCAGCCAACTAATACCCTCTAAAATATCACAAGATACAAAAACAAAAATAGTTACCAAAAGCATTCCAAGGTTCTGGGCAAGTACCAAATGGCTTATCATGGAAGTTATGTCTTCAAAAGATTCCAGAGTCACTGAATTTTGATTCGGCTGAAGTACAGTTTACTCAGTAAGCCCAATTGAACAAATGGTAAAATAGTGTTAAATTAGTAAATTATTTCTTTTGATCTCAAACTTCCACTTATCCACTCCTCATGGACAATTGTATTTACCATTAAGATAAAGTATCAGTTTGTTTTGTATTTTCTTGGATTACAGCAAGAAACAGCAAAAACTGAACAGGATGGTACATTTGACTGTAGTCCCGAAAGGCTGGATTGTTTTTTCCTGCAGAAATGATAAAGAATAGATGGGTAAGGAATTGCAAGAAAACGTTTATAGTGGTGTGTGGCAATATCCCCAGATGATGAGAAATGGTCAACAAGTTTTGGCATAGATGGTGGTGGGTACTGTGCTTGAATTTCTGTGACTGGGTGATTGATGACAAATTTTAGATATTAACGAAAGGTCACTTAGTAATTGCCACACTTAGTTGATTTCAGAACATATTTGTTAAGTGCACTACTAATTGAAAGCCTACTAAAATATATGTAAGTTTTCTAAATATAATCTTTGTCTGTTGATGTCTGTAAATGAATTGTTGATTGACACCAGTGTATACATTGGAAAGGTTTTGACCACAGTGAGTTTTGATTGTTAGCATAAGAAATTGAAGCTATGTCTGAACCTTAACTTAGTCCCTGAAGTAAGATTTTGAGTGTCTCGGTTCTGCATTCTGGAAAGATATTTTTATAGCACAACAATAAAACCACTGAACATTAGATATACATAGGGATACCTCATAATAATTTCAGATTGGATTCACTTAAAGATAATTGTGTACTCTGATGATCAAAGATCTGACTTTTCTGTAGTTGACTATTCCTGCTGAATTAAGGTCCAGTTATTCCTACTGATAGATAATAATGTGTGTGGACTTGCTGCATGGGTAGGGATAAACAAATTACTATTTGAAAGTAATTCCCATTTTATTACAGAAAATATCCTTGCTTCCTTTTTTTTTTTTTTTTTTTTTTTTTTTTGGTCTAAGGTCAGGAGAACACAAGAAAAAAAGCAGCAGGTAAATGTAATCACCATGTCAGTGATGGTGCATTAGGATTCAGTTTATCACAAATTGTATCTTTCATTCTGGTCATTTATGTAAGTTGCCAAAAGAGCTAATGATACCATGTTTAATTGCTTGTGAAATAATAAAAATATCCTGTGATGAATACTATTTCAATTTGGGGCATCTGAGCATTTATATATAGTTCTTCATATTATCCTTGTACCTGAAAATAAAACGAGTGTTTCAGGTTCGAATTCCTTCATAGAAAAATAAATATTGCACCATGAACCAAGGTGAAGATAACTTGAGTTGAGAATTTTGGTGGAATTATAAGGAGAGAAGAGCTTTGTTAATTCCGAAGGATATCTAGCCCTTAGATATTCTGAGGATCATCCAAGTCACACCATCTCTTTATAGTGACCTTTACCTTGGTCACAGTTGAAGCTTTACCTTGAAATAAACTATCTAAACCCAAGATCTTTTGACATTTATTACCTCATGTAATCTCTTTCTATGATCACCAAATAGAGACTCTAAATATCTTTCAGAGGAAACTCTTTGGAGATTTGGACCCCAAAGTTGTCTGCTCTCAATCTCATCGAGGACTGATCTTCTCAAAATGATTCTCTTGAAGCTTAAATTCCAAACTTTTGTTCCTAAGTCCTGACCTCTAAAACCTTTTCATTTTTCTGACCACTGAGACATCCACTGCCATAGATCTTGACCTCATAATCCATTTTTAAGCTGGTTTCAGGTCTCTTTGCCATGCCGTGAACTTTGATATTCTGAGAGGTTCAAAGCACAATTCCCTATCTCAACTCAGAATGTTCTCTGAAGGGTCAGTAAATGATTTTTCATTTTTTGTGATTATCAGTTACCTTTTCAAACCTTTATGTGAGAAATCTTTATTCTATGATTATTTATGGAAAAGCACATTAGAGTTACTCTATCTTTAGTTAGAGGAGGCTTTTTGTTCTCCTAATTTGATTCCAATTTCTTCATATCAGGTCTTAAACTTCAACTTCTATACATTGAAAGAAGAAAACTCCATTCCTCAAAGATTCTAAAATTTATATAGTTCCACTTTCTTGTGACCTTATCTTCTAGCACGTATGACTTCAATCGCCTATAACATTCTATGCCCTACTCATCCTCAATTTTCATTCTTAGATTTTTCAGCCTGCCTATTCTGAAAAATTAACTTACTTTTATGTGTTACAATGGGAAAGTAGAACTTTCAATGGGAAGAACACTGGCATAAGAATAATAATACTTAATTTCTAGCTTACATATCTGGGCCTCAATTTTTCTAATTAAATTTACCATGGGCCCAGGCACGGTGGCTCACACCTGTAATGCCAGCACTTTGGGAGGCTGGGTTGGGCAGATCTTGAGGTCAGGAGATTGAGACCATCCTGGCTGACAGGGTAAAACCCTATCTACAAGGTGAGATTTTGGTGCGGACACGCAGTCAAACAGAATCACCCTCAAAATGTATCTTCTCAGATAAACTATCTGATTATCAATGAGAAGAACCCTAACTCCAATCACTTGTCTCAAAGAAACACTTCCTATCAGTGGCATATACCTCCTCTTTGGAGGAAAATATCAAACATTCTTATTTCCTGTATTTGATGTCAACCTACAATGATTGTTTTTGCCATAATTTATGACTGACAAATTTAAAATTAAAGGAACCACATTAAGTTTTATTTTAGTTTTCTAAAGAGCTTGGAAAAAGTGCAAAAACATAAAAAAGTTCAGGAAATTTTTTGGCCTTTGTTCCTGGAACCAAATACTTTGCTCCCACTTATGCCAGAAATTTTAAGAATTGGCATGCGCTAACAAATTAAAAGACCTCCTGAGACATCCAGAAGATAGTGCTTCGTGACTTAACACCATGTACACAGGGAAAAGGCAGCCTAAGCATAATTAATAGCCAGTGTTTTGCTCTGAAGGGTGCAGAGCGATGGCATGTCATCACGCTATCTTGACTCCACAAATCTTCATTCCTCGACGTTAAGTAATATCTTGTTGCACCCTGCCCATGCGGCACGTGAAGCTATCAGTACTTTCATGAAAACTTTTTTTCTGAAAGCCTGATTTATGGCAATGGGTTATTTGTCCATGGATTTTCTCTATTATTTTCCCAGAAAGGAAGTTTTGTTTTTTACGTTGAGTAATTTTTACAGACCTCGGCCTGAAAAACTAGATGAGAACATTACGAAGAAGCAATGTTATTTAAAACTCTGAGTGGGGCCTTCATTTGTTTCCCATCACAGCAGACTCCCAGTGCTAAAAGCACCAAAGTGGGCTGTACATGTCTCTACAGGATTGCAAAGAAGCTGAACAAAAAGAAAAGGAAAGGGAGGGACTTTCTCAGTTACACTATAATCAACATGACCTTCACTATTATTGAGGAATTATCCTTCTTTGGTATGGGGAGAGAAATAACAAGAAGCAAGTCATGTGAATGAGAGATTTATTTGAAACTGATGTCATTAATCAGCTTTATGAAAAACACATTTGTGTTTTTTTGCTTTTTTATCCCTCACAATAATGTATTTTCTCTGGAAAAGCTTCAGGAAGTGGTGGTAGTTCACAAGAGTTTCCATCTTCACTCTGTGGGGGAAAAAGTGTTACTGGAGTGGGCCAGCTCTGATAAAAGAGCCTGCATCTGGGCTTAGTAGGTCTAGAAATAGAAGGGGATAGACTACAGACAATGGCCTGCAGACTGGACTCATGCACGTAGACCATATTACCCCCCCCAAAAAAAAGGCAAAGGAGATGACTACGAAAGAGAATCCATATATAATTTCATGAAAAATATTCATTGGATATTTAATTTTACGTACACGTTACATTTGTTCTTTGAGACTCATCAACATTGTATATTCTGAAAAGTGCTTAATAGGGAGATGAGGTAAGAGCAGGGTGGTAGTACAAAAAGAGCTTATACCTTCTATACTAATAAATACATGGGCTTCTTAGGGTAAAGAAGGAGTGATACTGTACATTGCTCCCCAGGACAAGTAAAGGATTCAGGATAAAAACATCTAAACTCTTTAAATGAACTGTAGTGATGAGCTACTGCCTACATAGAACTGGAGATGAGCTGTGTGCAGCAGAGGATACTGAAAGAAAATGTACAAGGGACATAGAACGGTAGAGACAAGGGACATAAACTAGAGCCATGTACACAGGAATGGGATCTGAGGCTGAGATAATAGGAAGCCTGTTATCAACTGGCAAGACAAGAGAAGAAAATCGTAACTGAATTCAAGATACAGGGACCGTTTGGACATTTGGTTAAATCATTCCTCCTTACCTTTGTGCACACCCATCTTTGAGTCAAGTGGAGGGTCTTCTTCACAGAGATGCTTGATAAATTTGCAGCAAGACTCTGGTCCTTTTCCAATAACAAGGGCTATCAAGGCTCGAGCTTTATCCAGGATGGCATCATTTTCATCTCTCACTTTGTTTGTCTCTTCTTGGCTAATAACTCTATCTTCTAATAGGCAACCCAGCAAGGCATTTATTGTGCCTGCACCCACTGAACAGATAAAAATTCTTCTCTTTTCACGCAAGAGTTGGTCTGTTGGAAGCACGACGATTTCTCAAATAATGAACATGATACAATTTTCCTCTCAATTCACCAACAGGAAAACAGTTTAAAACACAGAGAAATGTTTAAATAAACATTTCTCTCCACAAGCACATTTATTCCAAGGACAAGTACAATAATCCCAAGGAACAATCTTACAACTTTGCATTTACTTCATGTACTTCCTTCTGATTCTAGCGTTACCCACATATGCTCACTGAGTAACCTGGAAGAGCTAATTTTATGATTTTTCTGTTAATCTTCTAAAAATGAGAGGCCGTTCTGCTCTGACACATCCCAATTTCTTGAATTTTGAAGGGAAATGGCAGTTTCTTGAATTTTGAAAGGAATTTATCGTTTCCTTTGAGAACAACAGCTGCTGATACCCATCCTGTGCCCATTCTTATCCTTAACTACATAATCCTTCAAATGAGGACAACACTAGCAAAATTATAGCAGATACCAGAAGGAGCCCAGATTCTTCCTGGCCTTTATCTTTTCCTTCAAAAATGAAAGTCTGGGCATCTTCCCACCTTCTCTCTCCTTTCTCCTTTCCCTGTGCACCTCAAGGCTGCTCACAAAAACCTTCACCAAGCCTAATGAGAAAGACAGTCCTTTCCCAAATGAATCTGCCCTTGGACCTATTCTTTTACTATGGAAGACTCACCAGCCATGACTCCTCACGCTGGTGCTTGCAATGTGTGTTACAGTTGCAACGACAAGCACATTCCTGTAAGTAGGGTGTTACACAGATGAATGAATAATTATTACACCTACGCATGTGCATTTTTAATTATTTCCAAAGAAGCTGTTAGTTATTATCATTTCCCAAGATATTTTTAAGTAATTGAACCTCAGGTTGTAGCATGAACTGTGACCATAAGAAAATTACTTCACCATTCCTTGAAGGGTGAGAAACAAGAATAAAAGAGAAATGAGAAGGCACATACAGAGGTAAACATATGCAGTAAACAATCTTTAATTCACTGAGATTTAAATAGAAAGTAAAGCCAGAGTATAGAGTAGCTTTGCCACCTAAATCAAGTACTAAGCATTTCCTTTTTAAAATTGTGGTAACATTCACATAATACAAAATTTACCATCTTAATCATTTTACAGTATGCAGTCCAGTGGCATTAAGTACATTCACATTGCTGTGGAGCCATCAATACCATCCAACTACAATTCTTTTCATTTTGGGAAATTGAAACTCTACACTCATTAAACAGTAACTATTCTTTCCTTCTATCAGCCCCTGGCAACTACTGTCTGTCTTTATGAATTTGACTTCTCTAAATTATTCAGTATTAATTTTTTGGTGCCTGACTTATTTCACTTAGCATAATGTCCACACTGTTTATTCATGGTGGGCGTAGATCACAATTTTCTTTTTTTCTGAAGTTGAATAATACTCCATTCTGTGTATGTATCACATTTTAGTTTACCCATTCTTTATTGGACACAGGTTTCTTCCCTCTTTTTGCTATTGTGAATGAACATAGTATAGAAATATGTTTTTGAGATTCTGCTTTCAATTATTTTGAATAAATATCCAGAAGTGGAATTGGTAAATCATAGAGTAGTTCTGTTTATTTATTATTATTATTTTTTTGTTTGTGTGGAACCAGTATGCTGTTTTCCATAGCAGCTGCACTATTTTACATTCCCACATACAAAGCACACGTGTTCCAATTTGTCCATGTTCTTGCCAATACATATCATTTTTCTATTCTTTTGATAATAGCCATTCTAATGGGTGTGAGATGGACTTGGCTTCTTAACTTCCTTTCATGTTTTTCACCTGAGCTCTAGAGTGTCTTCAGACACAGAAATGGTGTATGCTCCTATGAAGCAGTTTTGCTATTTGGAATAAAAGTGCTTTGTTTTCTAAGGCTCTTTATCTAAAGATGGTACCATTTTAAGTAACATTGTATCACAAAGATTAATGGCACAGACTCCAAAGCCAGAATGGTTGCATCCACATTTTAACTGCTGATCTCAGGGAACAAAATTAACCAAACCTTAGTCTCCCCTTCTGCCAAACAGGATTGGTGATAATTCCTATCTTGCAGTGTTATTGTGAGTATTTAATGAGCAAATATAAGTCATTAAAATAGCCCCTGGCATAAAGGAAGCACCTCAATTATATCATGTGTGTCCATGTAAAATTTGCTATTCATCCCATAAATTCTTCAACATAAATATTCAGCATAGTTATTTACTGAGACCCAAGTGTATGTGCCATACATTATTATAGATGCTGGGAATGTAGTAATGACCAAACAGACAAAATTTTCTACCCTATTAGAAGTTGTATTATAGTAGAAGAGACAAAATATTGTATAATTTTTTATAAAAAAAAGGATACAAAATATTTTCAGAGTTCTTTAATAATTGAAAGAAAACTATTTTCAGAAGATTTGAGGAATCATCTTCACTAAAATACTTGTATTAGCTTATATATGTGACATAAGTTGGTAAATATTTAAAATCTGGGCAAGGTGCTACAGTTTAGGTGCTCATGAGTCCGGGAATACACCAAATGAGGTGAATTGGAGAGGGGAGGCTGTGCCTACCTGGTAAGGGTAACCCTCTTTGAAGGGGCAGAGCTGCTCAGACTCAACTAGTTTTGCCTGGGAAAATAAAAATTCAGTTTACTCTTTCATTTTGAGGGTACTATATCTCTAATTTTAAAAATTCTTTCAGTACTTTTGCTATTGCTTTAGAACACTGTGAAAATTAAACAAAGCTTGCCTGTGGTTCACATTTCACCTGTAGTCTACCAATTTACTTTCCACTTTCTTGGCAGATAATGGCATTTATTTTCTTGGGAGTGGGAACTTTTATCTTGGTAGCATATAGTCGAACACTGCAGAGATTTGAATCTTTGACTTCTTTGACACTATTTTTTCTCCCTATTTTCCCAACCTAGCTTATAGCAGGCTCTGTGTCCTCTTGCTTTAGGGAATATTTACGGCAGAATAGAAATTAGAGATGGTCCGAAAGACACTGGAACCTGGAACAAGAAGACAAGGTACAAAAAGAATGGAACATCACTGTGGAAATCACAGAGAGAATGATATTATCCTCATTCTCTACTAGCCAGAAAAGCACATTATTCTATGGAAGTACAGGAGATGGTGCCTGACGATTGCTGATGGCCAAATGGTACCTATAGAAAGCAAAACTGTAAGCATGAGGATTCCCAGACTCAGATATGCTTCCCAGATCTCTAGAAGCTAAGGAGAGAACTCTTAGATATGCCACTCTACTGCTGGCTTCAAAATCAAAGTCCCAGTGATTAGAAGTTTCAATGGAAAAGGCAGGATTTTCTTTTCCTGTTTTTCTGAACATCCAAGTATATGTAAGTCTGGTAAGAGTACAAGAATAGAGACCTCATAACGACCAAAACTGGAATTATCTACTACCTTATTTGTATAGGCAGTAATGTATTTGTATAGGCAAAATGTAATTTGAATTGAGATATGATTATCATAAAATTCCATGCTAAACAATAGGTAGTGTTTTAAATGATGAATGATGAGTTGAAAATTTAGATCAAGGCTCATTTCAAAGTTCTGGATTTGTATTTGCTGCTGACAGTTCAGATTTGTCATTATGATAAGAGTACTTATTACTTTTGTGGGAGTAGGGAGGAGTTATGACATAAAAGCATAAGTTCTCTAGTTGCCACCTTTACTTGTGTCATTTATAACTCTTTGAAGATACTCAATTTTCTATCATTCCTCTGTTCTTGGGTATAAACATTCTGGAACATATCTAGGGAATATACATTAGTGGGATCACTAATCAAAGGTAAGATTTATTTATTTTTTCCAGAAGCCCTCCCCTCTTCCCAGATTTGGAATAAAATCACCCCTTCAAGTGTACTTTGTTAGTTGTATGAGTTGATGAATGACTTGGTTAAACTATCTAAGCCTCAGTTTTCCCATTCAGACACTTTCCTCATCTGTATCATTACTATTACTAGATTTATTGTGACTGTTTAAGATAAATATGTGAAATCATTGCCTGGCTATATGTGTAAGTGACTGCTATTACATTAGCAATAGTCTTGAAGGAAGAAGGTATCCTGGTACTTTATATTTTTTTTATAAAATGCTTCCAAATTTATATGCCCATTTTACAGAAAATACTAATTACCGGTGGTTCAGAGATGTACCTGGCACAAGGAGCCTCTCACTCAATCCTAGGCTCTGTGTGATATGCTACTTGTTGCTCATCATAGCACTGTGGTTGAATATATGAAGAACATCAGCTGGTAAAAGAGGACTCAGTGCCTGCCCTTTTGGAATTTAAAATCATTTGACTGATAAGGCATAGGCACAGGAAAATATTGTATTTCAGTACAGGAGAAAATGGACTAAGATGCTATGAGGTATCAATGATGGGAGGATTAAATATAATCTGAAGCAATTAGGAAGATTTCACACAGGTAACATAAAATGTTTCAGACTCTGTAGGATGAAGGCATTTAAGTAAGCACTGAAAGAGGTTGCTAATTTGCTGATAGCTTGCCCTTTTTTAGGTAATATAGTTAAGTTTTTTCTTTTATTTTCTTTCTTTTTTTTTTTTTTTTTTTTTTTTACTGAATCTTGCTTTGTCACCAGCCTGGAGTGCAGTGGCCCGATCTTGGCTTACTGCAACCTTCACCTCCTGAGTTCAAGCAATTTTCCTGTCTCAACCTCCTTAATAGCTGGGACTACAGGCATGTGCCACCATACTCAGCTAATTTTTGTGTTTTTAGTAGAGACGGGATTTCACCATGTTAACCAGGCTGGTCTTGATCTCTTGACTTCATGATCCACCAACTTTGGCCTCTGAAAGTGCTGGGGTTACAGCTAGTGCCAAGAAGCCTGGCTTTTTTTTTTTTTTTTTTTTTTTTTTTTTTTTTCTCTTTAAGAGACAGTCTTGTTCTGTCACCAGGCTAGAGTACAATGATACGATCTTGGCTTACTGCAAACTCCGCCTCCCAGGTTCAAGCCATTCTCCTGCCTCAGCCTCCCAAGTGGCTGAGACTAAAGGTGCACCTGCCACCACACCCAGCTAATTTTTTATATTTTTATTAGAGATGGGATTTCACCATGTTAGCCAGGATGGTCTGGATCTCCTGACCTTGTGATCCACCCACTTGGCCTCCCAAAGTGATGGGATTACAGGCAAAAGCCACTGCACCCAGCCTTTTTTTTTTTTTTTTTTTTTTTAACTTTTAAGTTCTGGGATACATATGTAGAACCTGCAGGTTTATTACATAGGTATACATGTGACATGGTGGCTTCCTGCACCCATTACCCCATCATCTACATTAGGTATTTCTCCTAATGCTATCCCTTCCCTAACACTCAATCCCCAACAAGCCCTAGTGTGTGATGTTCCCTTCCCTGTGTCCATGTGTTCTCATTGTTCAGCTCCCACTTATGAGGGAGAACATGTGGTGTTTGGTTTTCGGTTCTTCTGTTAGTTTGCTGAGAATGATGGTTTCCAGCTTCATCCATGTCCCTGCAAAGGACATGAACTCATTCCTTTTTATGGCTGCATAGTATTCCATGGTGTATATATGCCACATTTTCTTTATACAATCTATCATTAATAGGCATTTGGGTTGGTTCCAAGTCTTTGCTACTGTGAACAGTGCCACAGTAAACATACATGTGCAGGTATCTTGA